TTTCAAGGACTGCAGGTACTAACCTGAACCATCATTTGGCGAGTCCGTCGAAGGCTCTCTGTGATGCTTTCAGCTGCAGATGTCATTCCGGCTTTTGTCCTGACACAGTTCACATATTAATATATTATGGCATTATGCTTTTAGCCTTTTACACACTTTTACTAATATCCTTGGGAGAAAGTCCACTAAAACACATTTTAGATACACAGGAGTATGGAGAGTATGTGTTTGGAAAATGAAGAAGCGGACTATACATACTGTAGGTTACGTCTACGAATGGTAGATTCTCCTCCACCTCCCAGAAGCAATTCTCTCTGCATACAATTATTAAGTGAATTCAGAAAAGCATTCCCAAGTTACAATGGGATTGATTTACAAAGAGTACAAAAAGTGGTGTCAACTCCTCCATGAAATAATTAATCCGTTTAAATAAACATACAAGTTACAATGCTCAAGTATAGTGGGTTTCTGCAAATAAGAGAAAAACTTTTACCTCTTCTTGTGCAGTTTTCCTCATATTAGCTTTAGCTTGCAAATTAGCACTTCTCAGGGACAGCCTCAGGCTAAACGATACAGATACATTTTGAATTTTTTTTTAGGAAAGTAACCACTAGAAGATGCATGAAGTATGCATATAGAAATACAATTACTCTAATCTCCATACATATACTATTCTATACCCTAAAGTACAATAAGACTATAAGAACTGAGAAAAAATATGGATTCATAGGTCTATAACATACTCTGCATCAGATGATGTTCCCTATCCAGTACACAACAATACATTTCAATAGGTACCTCAAATTTGGCAATTCACAAGTGATTTTTCATATATTTCTAAAATTCAACACATGAAATCAGTCAACCCCCTTCCTTTTTTTTCTTCTAATGAGTAATGAAAATAGAAGAAATGAAGGATTGAGCTTCAAGTCTTTTGCAGCCACATTCTAGTCCTAGTAGTCTTTAAAATACAGAAAAGACACTCATGTCTAAAAAGATCAAATAGGTTAAAGAACTAGGAAGATTTTCAATCCCACTGTCTCCCTTCCTTGATAATTGAGAATAGAAAACAAGCCATTCGAACTGTCAATGTTTACAAATACAGAATAACTTTTCACAATATATCAGCCAATTCATTTGGCAATATGTTCTCCCCCAAAAAATTATATTCATACCTCGAGAGTCAAAATCTATCAATAAAAAAATAACAGGCTATATTCATCACAGAGCTTCTCATGAATTGGCAAGAAGTTCTTCTCATTATCCCAATGTAACACATTCCTAAAAAACTTAGAACCCTATGAATCAGAGAACTGTAGAAAAAGAAGACATTTTTATGAAACAATTGGGAAATGGGGACAATGTGGGGTACCTATCTATTTGTTTTTTCCATGATTCTGCCAGAGACTGAGCATCCTGGACCTGATCACCAATGGGCATCTGAGGTGCCAAGAGATCAAGTTTGAATTGCAGTGATTGAAGATGATTTAAGCTATCTTGTGCGAGACCATTTAGCCTGGGGAGTGAGCTCTTCTCTTCTGATGTCACGGAGGATAACCCCAATCCAGATTTTCCATGCTCTCGGATTGAATTGATGTGCTCGTCTAGTTTCTTTGTTGTTTCTTCGTACTCTTTTTTCACGGTCTCCACCTCCACTGTCACCTTGTCCATTATCATTTAGAGTGGAGTTTAAGACCCTTAAATTGGGACTGTTCTGGAAGCTACTCGTGGATGTTGAAAAAGATCGGATCCGCACATAACCTATGTATATTATAAAACGGAATAGTCACAAGAACCTTTTAGGCGTCATTTTGGGCAGAAAGTGTGAACGCTCAATGCAGGCACGAGTGAAAAAATTTAAACTAATTAATTGTTTCTCAAGGTTAAAGAATTAATGCAATTAAATATGGAGTATGAGGCTTGAAGGCTGTTCTGAAGTATTTTTCTAAAGTCCGTATATATTGAGATATTTTGGGATTCCCAAAGGTATATATTCATTACCAAAGTTGTTAATTAATACTTCGTAATAAATAGCAGCATCAGTAACCAATGCAATTAAGTAGTACTCCACAATAGATAGCAGCATGCACGATGTGGCTGCCCATTGCAATCACCGATGATGCATAAATCACTATCTCAACGAAAACTCCCTATTACAAATTAAAATTAGTTTACACAGCTGGGTAACCAGACGTTAAGAAAATAAAGTGCGCACATGTACGATGTGCCTTTTCACATTCTAATGGAAAATCTTTTACCCTTGCTTCTATAAATTAAGGAGCATTGGAAAGCAATTTCATCACTCAGCACATGATGGTAAACTCATATCCAAACCACAAGTTTTCCCTGTAGTGACTTTCAAATATACACACTGAACTCTCAGGTAAGATGATAATGTTCAACAATTTGTTCTGCTTTCATTGAATAATAAAAATCATTAAAATGCCTGCAAAATGAACAATCATTCATGTAAGAGGCATCTGGTAGTGAAAATAGCACAACTACTTTTACAGCCACTTACAAAACCTCAAGTCAAGAAGCTAAGTGAAGAAGTTGTATTTTACTATTTTTTATATTCAACTTACTCTTTATTCCTTCAAAGAGGCTATCATCTCTTATATTTTTTATTTTTATTTTTAGTTTTTCAATGAAGGCAAGGAAATACTGCTTCCAGAATTAAGTCTCTTATAATACTTTACCTATCATTTTTAATATGCTACTTTATCAACTCTAAATGCTAAATTGATCCAATTTTTCAACCAATAGTAGTTTTTTGTAGTTTGAAGAAAATAGTACGTAATATTCATCAACTTTTATTTGTAGCAGTCTATTTGTAAATCTGAAACCTTAGCAGTCTGAAATACTCCGTAGATGTTTTATATAAAAGAATTACTCAAAATCATAGACATGACATAGAGATTTGTAACAACTTAAAAGGTATATGAAGATAAAACTTGACTTATTATGCACTATCCTTTGTAGAAATGTGGTTTCAACATAGACATGATCTGAAAATTTAACAAGTCAAGTCACACAAACTGCAACAGTAGGGAGAAGAGTATGCATTTGGTGACATAGTAGATTCACTCATTTCAATCTATTGCAAATGTATTGTTTTTTTAGATCGTTAAAAATACATTATTGATCTAATTTTATTAATAAATGTTGACTTTTTTGTATACTTTTAAAAGAGCGATGTGATTTATAGTACAAGATTTTATATAAATCATGATTATTTTTTGCTTATGATTAAATAGACATTGGTTGAATAAACATCCAAACGTAATTGTGATTTCGAATGATAAATACATATATCAGTTGGTGTTTTGAGAAGAAAAAATAGTCATAACCATAAACCTCAATAGACAAAATTAGTTGTCTTATACGATTAAAACCAAATGGAAAAACAAACTCTAAGCAAATTACACAACTTTGTATAGATAAACCTAAAAATACACCTAAATAAGGCTGATACTAAAAGAATTAGATAAGAATGTCAAATACAATAAACCTAAACGCATACAGATGTGAATTGAACATTTGATTACCGATTTGTCGATGACCATAGAAGTGAGTATATCCGAATTGTGTGAAAATGATGAGTGATGATCGACGGAGACGGGCTGGGTGACAATCGATGAGGACGAAGCTACTCGCCAACGATCGATGAAGAAACTGCTGCCAAGCAGTGGGGAGGTTAACGGCGCTGTCCAGTTCGACTAGTTTCGTACGCCATGGCTTATTTTAACGGCAAACTTTAGTGAATCATGTTGATTACAACTTTATCTTCTTTATTTGTTGTCTCAAAAAACGGATTTTGTTCATTTTTCTCTCTTCGGTACAAATATCAATTAAACAGAGGAATTAAACAGAGGTAGTATAATTTACTCTGAACTTGGCAATCCATTGACACAGAGGTAGTATAATTTACAAATTTAATACTTTTATGAAAAATATTTTGAATAAAGAATATCTTGATATAATTTTAATATTCACAATAATTTCATACTAAAAAATTTCATTGTCAAAGTTGATTGTCTTTGACCAAGAAAAGTGAATTTAGCAAACTTTTTTTAGATGGAGGGAGTATAATTTATAAATCCATAACCATTTCATTCTTATTTTTTTTTATTAATGGTTCGGTTCCTGATTTCTATAAAAAAAATGTCTAAAAACATAGGGAACCATTATTCAAAAAGTAAAAATTTTAAAATTATAACTAATAGTACTAACAACAACAGTATTAATAGTAATAACAACAACAACAATACGGAGTAGTACTAGTAGCTGTAGTAGTACTAGTAGTAGTAATAATAATAATAATAATAATAATAATAATAATAATAATAATAATAATAATAATAATAATAATAATAATAATAATAATAATAATAATAATAATAATAATAATAATAATAATAATAATAATAATAATAATAATAATAATAATAATAATAATAATAATAATAATAATAATAATAATAATAATAATAATAATAATAATAATAATAATAATAATAATAATAATAATAATAATAATAATAATAATAATAATAATAATAATAATAATAATAATAATAATAATAATAATAATAATAATAATAATAATAATAATAATAATAATAATAATAATAATAATAATAATAATAATAATAATAATAATAATAATAATAATAATAATAATAATAATAATAATAATAATAATAATAATAATAATAATAATAATAATAATAATAATAATAATAATAATAATAATAATAATAATAATAATAATAATAATAATAATAATAATAATAATAATAATAATAATAATAATAATAATAATAATAATAATAATAATAATAATAATAATAATAATAATAATAATAATAATAATAATAATAATAATAATAATAATAATAATAATAATAATAATAATAATAATAATAATAATAATAATAATAATAATAATAATAATAATAATAATAATAATATTAGTATTATTATAAAATATGTATAAATAATGGAGGTTTATATACTAAAGATTTTCATTAGCTCAAATTATGTGAGTTTATCGTATATTTTTACCTAAATATATTGAGTTGTTGAAATGAAACAATTAATTGGTCCAGAGGACCATGTGCTGTTCTTTTTCCTTAGCCAAGTTTTTGCCCCTAAGGGTTTTCTTGGCCAAAGGTTTTACAAGGTATTTTGTGGTTTCAAAAGAGTGAGAAAGATAAATAACATTTGGAAGACTATTATCCTCTAGAAGAGTGACTTTAATATTAGTTCAGAAGATAGTACCCTGAAGATCTTAATTGGTTCTTGTAAGGTCGAACAATTGATTGGTCCGGAAGGCCAAATGCAATTGTACTCTTTTTCGTTAACCAAATTTTGTCCCATAGGGTTTTTATGGTCAAAGGTTTTAATGAGACAGTTTGTGATTCTCAAACAACATATTGTGATTCTTGGAGTATTATTTTTCTCTAGAAGAGTGAATTCAAATGTAATCTAGAAGATTAGGCCCCGAAGGCCAATGACTGTGCTCTTTTCCTTTACTAAGTTTTTCCCACGTGGTTTTCTTAGTTAGATGTTTTTAATGATGCAGTCAATACACACATCATTTTTTCTATATTATGTACTCTTTTCCTTGATTGGTTTTTCCCCAAAGCGGTTTCCAACAAGTTTTTTAACGAGGCATACCCATAGTACAATATTTCATTTGAGAGGCCAGTAACCAGATTGGATTAAATTGGATTCGAGAAGAAGACATGAAGTGATGCAGTCAACACGAGGAGCACATACACGTTGCACTTTTTTCCCCATGTTCAAGGTTTTTAATGAGGAAGCATTTTCAAGCGTATAAAGAGAAAAATCATATTTTTCTTGTAGTGTTTTTTGTTTAGTAATGTACATCGGGGGGTGTTATGGAATGTGTAGATGTTCATTAGAGAATAATGTTCATTATTAGAGAATAATGTTCATTATTCTCTAGCCCATATTTGTTGTTAGGGCTTAGCTCATTACCATGTACCCCCATTTCCCGTATCTCATATGTTAATGAAAAGGAGACAACATTATTGAGATTTACCACAAATAACACATAATGTCACCTTATCAAAATATTCACATACCGAAACGGTATACCAAAATTTTGATACCGTACAAGTACAAAAAATTGGTAAAACGCCACACCTTACTGAAATTAAATACACCAAATTATTACTATCCCTCATTTTTAGTTACACCATATTTAGTTTTACATTATTTACATACTCTACTTTGAGTACACTCCATTTATTATTGTATGAACATTTTTTTGTTTGAAAAATATTGTTAATTTGTCTCATTATGAATTTTAAAAATATGTTTTTTTATTAATAGAGAATTAAATATATTGATGGTCAATGTTGTGCATTGAAAAACGTGAAAATGAAATATTGCAACTAAAAAGAACAAAGAAGGTATATCCTAAATGAATTAACAAAAGTGGTGTAGCTAATGATATACTAAACTCATTAATATAAAAATTCACAAAATATGACTTTTACATTCCAAAAGTTTCAGTATGGCAAATGTATGCGATAAAATATTAGGTATGTCGTACCAAACCACCCCAAATGTGATTAGGCATTTCGATGGGCCTAGTTTGGACCTAGAACCAACCCATGTCCTCCATTTCCTAATGGGTGTGGGTCCACGTTTAATTTCACGTACCCCGATTTGAACTCAAACTCATTATTTATTTTGACACATGAGCAGCGTGTGATACAAGCTGCTCCGACCCATTAAGAATGTGACTCATTTAAAACTTACACGTAGTATTTGATAATACAAACATATAACATATATGAATATAACACACACAGATATTGTGCGGTTCCAATGAGAACAATGTTTAACTTGAGAACATAACAACACTCACATGTGACCCAACATGATGCACAATGAAGGTCATGTGGTGCACATTTAAACTTTTCTCAAATAAGTCAATATTAAATAATTGCGGTGACATTTTCGTAAATAGTATGCTTAACGTGAAAAGGTGTAATGGTCGAATCTAATTGTGCATCACATTGTATATATACATACATATACAATGAATGTGGTTGATGATTTAGTGTACAAATTAATATTACTCGTTCCATTGAACTTTCACAACTTTGAGTTATGTGAGAAATAAGAAAAGTATAAATTGTGTGATTGAGGTTTGAACAGAGGAGAGAGAAATGAGTACAACAACAAATTAGTTTCTTTAATGGGAACGTGACAAAGTTTTTCGAATAATTAAAAAAATGTGGACAATATCTAATGAGACGGGATGAATAGTAGCTACCAAGAAAAAAAATTAATATTGTACGATCATAACTAGTAGTTACATTTGGTTTTTGATTTTTTAAAACAATTGCGGTTATATGAGTATTAATTTAGACATGTCTATCTGACCCATTTTTTAAACCTAATTGGTCTGAGTGTGGAACACTTATTCTACACTGGTTGGGTAATGGATCCAAGTCTGGAACATAAATAAATCAGCGATTCCAAGTTTGAAACATTATGCTCCTACAACTATATCGGCTACCTATTGAATTTGAATTGCAGTGACAATTGGGTGATTTGGCTGATTTCGAGCTTTTCAGCAAAATGGTGAATCGTGAATGCCAACCGAAGTAATTGCTTTAACGACAACGACTCATCTTTTCCATTGTCGCTGGTCTTCTTCCACTTCGCATGGGGATGCTTTTCTTTTTTAAAAGGGGTAATTTAGATATTTGAATTAATTTTATTTATTTTTATGGGGGAAATTGACCTTGAACCCCACTTTTTGTGTGTGTGTGGGGGGTATTTAGACCATATCAAGATGTATTTTGAAAAAACTTTAACTTTGCACCCCAACACTTAACATTTTGTGAAGAAAAAATTCTGAATGAGGTGCAAGTCAAAGAAATTTTAAGTGCAATGGGGTACAATGTGAAAAGTCAAAAACTTTTGAAAATGAGGTGCAACGTCCAATACTACTATACCCAAAAAGTGGAGTGTGAAGTTAAATTCCCCTTATTTTTATTTAATTATTTGGCAATGAATGGCAATTTGGAAGTTACGAATATAATTACTCTTTAACTTGAAATGCTCCTAGGGAAGGATCTATGTACGAGCTATAGTTGGTTGAAGCTCAGGGTAAATTTTTTTTCCAGTGTAAATTTTTTCATTTTTCGTATTTAGCTCACCCTCTAATATTTAAGTCTAGTCTAATTACGCTTCAGCCCAATCCAATCTAAATTCTTAAACACCCATTGGAATGTCTGCAAAGTATGAAAAGCCACCACAATGTACTGAATCAGTACATGCACCACACCTTGCATTTCAAATAACCAGATAAAAGATAGCAAATTTCAAGGACTAGAATAATATTTATTTTTTGATTTATTATTACTACCTCTGTCCTACTAACATTGAGACATGAGGGGAGAGTAAAAATGATTTAAAATCACGCATAATTTACCAAATTTGGTATGAGCAATCTTAATGAAACGGATCAAAAAGATGTGACAATCTTTGCGGGACAGTGAGAGAGTATTTTTTAAATAACTCTTTGGATTAAGCCATAGTAAGATGTATTTAGACCAGGTTTAGAAATGACAAATAAACAAATCCAAAATTGTTATATCTATAAATGTACATTTCCATTAGATAATCCATAAGGTTGGTTTTAATTTAAATCATAACTGCTCAAAACTATATCAAGCACCATAACTACTGTTGAGTTTTATCCAACACGATATAGTAAATATATGTATAAATGTGTATGAACAAGCTCGATTTTTACGTGGAAACCCGAAAGGGAGAAAACCACGGGACTTTTTAGGCTAATGTCCAAACCCTCTCATTCTCATTAGGCTCTCCTCACCATTACATAGTACATTTTGAGCTCCCATTAATGGAGTCTTGCAAGCTATTCTAGAAAGAAGAAATGAGTTGGGGGAAGAAGGGAAAAGGGGATCAAAAGAGATCCTTTACATGGAGGCTAAGCTCCGTATTTATAGGGGAAGGAGAGAACGGGCTCTCCACCCTAATGGGCCAAACGGGCCGATATCGGGCCTGGTGGTCAAAGTGGGCCGAATGGGCCGAAATGGGCCGAAATGGGCCTAGCTGCTCGGGCTCCGCACTGGATAATGTCTTGGGCTCCTGAACAGTAACAGACCGGGATAATGTCTTGGGCTCCGCACTGGATAATGTCCCTCCTATCTGATCTGGGGAGCTAATCGTCGTTTGTCTACCGTATCCGTGGTCCTATGTACGGACCGCTAAGCGGTGTACACTCGGCACGCAACAGACTCCGGTAAAGAACTGGTTCTTCGAGTCTGATCCATGGAGCTGGTCTTCGTTCGTCTACCGTATCCGTGGTCCTATGTATGGACCGCTAAGCGGTGTACACTCGGCACGCAATAGACTCCGGTAAAGAACTGGTTCTTCGTGTCTGATCCATGGAGCTGGTCTTCGTTCGTCTACCATATCCGTGGTCCTATGTATGGACCGCTAAGCGGTGTACACTCGGCACGCAACAGACTCCGGTAAAGAACTGGTTCTTCGTGTCTGATCCATGGAGCTGGTCTTCGTTCATCTACCGTATCTGTGGTCCTATGTATGGACCGCTAAGCGGTGTACACTCGGCGCGCAACAGACTCCGGTAAAGAACTGGTCCTCCGTGTCTGATCCATGGAGCTGGTCTTCGTTTTTCCCAAGTCTCGTGATTACTGGTCTCCTGGTTTCGCAGGAGACGTTCGTCATCCCAACTATGAGAAGAAACAGGTTTATCCACGTCGGGATTCCCTATCTCTGTTCGTCCCCAGTCGTGAGTTACTAGTCTTCTGGTTTCGCAGAAGACGTTCGTCATCTGTCCATAAGGGGGAGGAACAGGTACACCCTGTCAGGGTTCCCGTTTCTTCGTTCGTCCCTGTCGTGATCCTACTAACCTTCTTCCCTCGAAGAAGACGTTCGGTCATTCACCGATCGCAAGGAGGAACTGGTTTACCCTATCGCGGGTTCCCTGCTTCGTCGTCCCATGCTCGTGGCCCTACTAGCCTTCTGCTCTGGCAGAAGGTGTTCGTCGATCCACGGGTCATGGGAGGAACTGGTTTATCTTGCCGAGGTTCCCTTTGGTTCGTCTAGCCCCCCCACGTTCCTACTGGCCTCCGCGTCGGGAGACGTTCGTCATACGCGGCGAAGGAAGATCTGGCATACCTCGTCAAGACTCCCTCTCTCATAGGATCTCGTCTCCCCTTCTCCCCATCTTTTTTTTTTTTGAGGGAGGAAAATATGTTCGTCGGTTCTAAGAATGACCACAAGTGATGTCACACATAATGGTGGTGGGATATCAAAATGAATAGAATGACGAGGCGATGGAAATGCTGGTCGTCATGCGAAGGCGATGGTCACCCTCCTGAAGGGAGGGGTGAGCTCGATCGCTAACTCAAGAAGGTCAGCATTGGGAGCCGATATACAATGATCATAATGTCGCTGAGCAGTCGGTCCTGATAATGGAGATGGCAATAGTGTCCGGTCAGGCCGATATATCCGAGCAACGGCTCTCATCCAACGCAGCGCGGGGATGAAACCGGTCTTCAAAAGATAAACACGCCGTGTCGGGAGGCCGGTCGTGATATAACTGTGTCGGCAATGAGAGGCCGATCTGAGAAAACAAGCAACGGCCGTCATCCGCGAGGAGTGGGGATGAAACCGGTCTTCAAATATGGAAAGCACGTCGAGCCGGAGGCCAGTCGTGATATAACGGTGTCGGCAATGAGAGGCCGATCTGAAATCCAAGCAACGGTCCTCATCCGCGCAGTGTGGGGACGAGGCCGGTCTTCAAATATGATGACCATGCCGTGCCGAGGGGCCGGTCATGATGTAATGATGGCGTCAGACGGCCCTCGGCCGTGATGATCTCTTCTAGGCCATCGGCCTCTGAATGACGGGTGATCGTCTCACGGTTCTCTGTCATGGCATTCGCCTCTAGACCCTCGGCCTCTAGGTGTTCTTCCTAGGCCATCGGTCTCTGGGGTGGAGATGCTCGTCCCACGGTTCTCAACCGTGGTGGTCTCCTCTAGGCCCTCGGCCCCTGGGTGGAGATGCTCGTCTCTCGGCTCTCAGCCGTGATGGTCTCCTCTTTAGCTGGCCCTGAACGTCTTTGAGACTCAGGCCGAGCGTCTTTTAATCATTTTGCTCGATCACGTCGAGCGGCTTCAGCTGCGCAATAAGCATGGTAACGGGCCGCACGGCCCGACAATATGTATACACACATAACCATCTGCATGGCTTTCTTTCTAACACCCACGATTACCGGCCTATGGGTTACCGTGACCCTCGGCCCGGCACATCGTGCGGGGTTAATGGACGTAGTAGCTCGCGCCAGGGCCAACTAGCAGCCCACCGAACGTCACATAGAAATATTCACCGGTCTGTGAGTTTTCAACTCAGACCCAAGTTAATCGCACTGCCCTTGGAAAAAGGAGGTTGAGTGCTTTGGTGCCTTCGGGCCCTACAGGCCGCGTTTGGCACAGTCACTTCGCCCAGCGGCGCAGATGGTACTAGGGTACGATCGTCGCTCGAGCACTTGGTGTCGTGCGGACTAATTCGTAACCCCCAAATTAAAACGCGTCATCGGAGCACTACCCTCTGGAGACGCTCAGATCGCTAATCAAAGCCGATCGAGGGTGGGCTAATTGGGCCCACCAACAATTAAACATTTAATAAAATGTTGGCCGAACTAACTATCACTAGAGCTTCGCTCCGCATTATTTAATTTTGGGAGATTTTATTCCCTAATAAATAATGGTGATAAAAATACTGTTTCTACTTCGTCAATAAGTACGAAGCACGCTCTACAAACAATCACGCACTTTAATTGGTAAAAGGATGAGTAAGTGGTACTTAGCTCTTTTTGGCATCGATGCTCGGCCAAGTGAGAATTTATGGAGTTGATTGAATTCCTTTTTGTTTGACCTGGTCAACCTTGCTAAAGAGCCAAAGACTTCAATTATTCAGCTACTCCAAAGTCCAAAGTATACGTACGTTCAAACCAAGGTCCTCGGCTTAATGGAATTCCCCAACTTGACTTGGTAAAATTACTCCAAGGAAAATGGCCCTCATTGCCTGGCCTCAAATTGCAGACGTGGTCTGCTCTTGGCCAAAACCTTTATGCGGAGTACATCTCTTAGGAAAGGCAGATGGAACACCCTCCTATTGACTCAGAGGCAGGCCGCACATGCCGGCCACCTTCCGCCGGTGGAGACGGTGGTCGCGGCAGAACAAGGCCGACCAGAGGACGCGGTTTCGTAAGGAGATCTACTGAGCCTCGGACTATACCTCCTCCGAGCAGGTGGACGAGCGACCTGCGGTTGACGGCTGATGTCGAGCGGCGGCGCGGCAGCTCCGGCGGCAGACCCCGCTGTTGGCGACGAACTACTGCGTTACAGGCGGAGTTTTTCTACGGATCGGGACGCCAAGATTGTAACGCTGCAGCGAGTTCCATCCGGTGCCGCAGGACGCCTCAGGAGTTCCATGCCGGCGGGGGCGGCTCCGGCGACTTCAAAAAATAGATCTGGAAAAAATCCAAGTTTGGACTTCCCAGAACCATTTGTTTTTTCCTTCTTCTTCCTTTTGCTGAAACCAGTCCATCTGGTATCAATTTTTTTTTTCTTTTGTTGAAAATCAGTTCTTCGTCTCACGTTTGTTTTAGAAGCTCAAGAAAACGTGAATCTTTTTGGACTGATTCCCACAGACGGCGCCAGTGTTGAGTTTTATCCAACACGATATAGTAAATATATGTATAAATGTGTATGAACAAGCTCGATTTTTACGTGAAAACCCGAAAGGGAGAAAACCACGGGACTTTTTAGGCTAATGTCCAAGCCCTCTCATTCTCATTAGGCTCTCCTCACCATTACATAGTACATTTTGAGCTCCCATTAATGGAGTCTTGCAAGCTATTCTAGAAAGAAGAAATGAGTTGGGGAAGAAGGGAAAAGGGGATCAGAAGGGATCCTTTACATGGAGACTAAGCTCCGTATTTAGTGCTGGACTCGGGCCGGGCGGCCCGGCCCGGAACTGGCCCGGCCCGGTTACTATTTGGCCCGGCCCGGCCCGGGGCCCGGTGGGTCCACCGGTTCGGTTCGGCCCGGCCCGGCTGCTGGGCGGTTCGGGCCCGGGCCCAGGTTTTGGTGAACCGGCCCGGCCAGTTCAGGCCCGGTCCGGGCCGAATTTTAATTTTTTAATTTTTTTTTTTTGAAATTTTTTTAAGTTTTAGGTTGGATTAGGTATTTTGGGCCATTTGAGGTGGTTTGGGATGGTTTGGGATTGAGGGGGAGGGGTAGGGGATTAAATAGGAGAACAAAAAAAAAAAAAAAATTAAATGGGCCGATTCGGCCCGGCCCGGCCCGGCCCGGCCCGGTTTGGCCCGGAACTGGGACCGGAACCGGCCACCGGCGGTTCGGGCTCGGGCCTCCCTTTCCTGGCCCGAGGCCCGGCCGGGCCCAGGCCCGAACCGGGCCCGAACCGGCCCGAGTCCAGCCTTATCCGTATTTATAGGGGAAGGAGAGAACGGGCTCTCCACCCTAATGGGCCAAACGGGCCGATATCGGGCCTGGTGGTCAAAGCGGGCCGAATGGGCCGAAATGGGCCTAGCTGCTCGGGCTCCGTACTGGATAATGTCTTGGGCTCCTGAACAGTAACAGACCGGGATAATATACCCCAACAACTACATATAATTAAATAGGTGATTATCTTTTAATGGATAAATTTTATTATTTTCATTATTATAGAAGAAGTCTTTTAATTCATTATCTTTCAAGCATGCACTGATGCACAAACTTATGCTCACAAATACATAAACATAATATTCATTGGTAAATAAGATTAGCCAATAAATTTTACTCATACATGTTTGTCCTTATATGTACTTGCGCAGTACACTTGCACTAGAATCAAATACCTTTACACAATCACACCGCAACATATCAATGTGTGTGTAGAAAATATCATACTCCGTATTAAACTTTTGTGTGTGTATCCTTTAATTATGAATTAGGATGGATTGATATTTTCCACACCATTTTTAAGTAAAGTGATCAGGTGCCATATTTGATTTACACAATAGTTGGATATATGATTTTCCAAAAAGAATTTATAATGAAGTGTGCACAAAAATGGGGGCGGATAAATAATGGGTGCGTGTAAAAGAAAGAAAGAAACTAAGAAAGTTATTGTGAGGGGTGAGCTAAAATGGGCTAACTTTGGTAGCCAACTTCAACATGCATTCAGGAACTAAGCGCCTTCTTCTGTGAGCAGTTGCTGCAGCCTCGACAACAGCTTCTGGGCTTTCACAATGGATTCTTGTTATCAAGTCCTCCAACAACTCATCCATCCCACCTCTCATCGGATCCTAACAGTAAACCCGAAAATCACGAAAAGATTAACCAAACGCCAACGGAAAAACATACACACTCATATGAAAAAATGCGAATGTTTAGCGGAACTGTCATTAAATGTTGCAAGTAGATTGTATAAATTTTAATAAATGAAAGAAAATTTTTTCTAGAGAAAATGCTTACAACATCTTAAGCAATAAAAAAAATACCTGGAGAAACAAATCTGTGTGTGTTTTCCCTTCATACATGATCGCTTCAGCTTTACCTCCAAGATCATTAAGAGTTTCAACGAATTTCTTGCTGCAACAAGGAAAGAGATTTGTACATTATATTTAACCACTTCTTCAATGTAGACCATTGTTGGAAGATATCAGCTATAACGATGATGGTAATAAGCTCAGCTCCTAATGTAGTGATTGAGGCAAATGGAAATTGTCAATACTATCAGCAGCAGGCAAATGGAAATTGTCAATTCTATCAGCATCAGGCAAATTTAAATTTACAGCTCATATTAATTGCAGTAATGTAAATATGACCAAATACTGCACAACTCAAACCAAATTTCTCTTCCACTCTAATCAACTACAACTTATTTTACAACAAAATAAGAATGAAGAGTTTCACATTTCAAATTTTAACCCATATTATACTCCAATATAACAATATAACAATATAAAAAGTGCATTTTAGTTAGCTACACACATTAATAGCTTTTGGTATACTCCATATATTGTTAAATGGTTGTGTGTATTTTCAAAATTTTAAAAACGTATAAAGATGGTGGTGAGGAAAAAAGTGTTAGTAAAATAAAGACAATGAATATAAGAGTTTTAAACTTTATATAATAAAGTATTAATATAATGAATAAAAAACTAAATGGCCAGAATTTTTTATGCTATAAGGTTAATTTGGTACATAAGAAAAATTACAAGTTTTTTAATATACTCAATAAAGGGACCACAGATGTTGAACATTAATGAATAATGAGCCTGGCTAAGAGAAATTCAAACCTGGATTCACAAGGAATGGAGTAGTCTGCAGTGCCATGGAAAAGGAAAATAGGAGGAAGGAGTGGGACTGCATTTCTAACATATGGATCTTGCACCACTAACTCCGGCGAGTATTTTCTCAAAGATTCTTCCCCTTCCATTATGCTGCAGATATGAAGTGAACACTCATAAGATACATGAAATTTGTAGTGACAGGAATCCATGAGAGCTAACACTCATAAAGCAAATAGCATCAGATACTTGAGTGCTAATGCCTCAATTAGTTACTGGACTCAATTCAGTACTCAACTCAGTATAGTTGAGGGACAAAATTCAACTCTATTGCGAAAAATGTTTGTCTGTTCACATATTTTCAACTAAATTTTGAACTTGGTTTGAAATTTGGATCATATTTTTAGTCTGTAGAAAATCTCTTCTCTGTTAGACCAATACCTGCATGGGGATAAAATTAGGTCTAAATTGCAAAGACCAGGCCCATATTGAATTAAAAGAAAGTTAATGACTAAATTGAATAATAATGCAATGTAGTTAAGGCCTAAGGGACCAAATCAAGTATTAACTTTATATTTTACCTCAAGAAAAGTGAGCGATAGAGACCCCGATTGTGGAAGTGATCCACTAGATGAAGCAAATTGTACCTATTCATCACCATCACTATAGAGTCAAAGTGCTAGTATACACTGTTCAAAAAGAGGCAGACTACCATACAATGAAACAAAGACATTAAATCATATTATACCACATAAATACATAAAGTTGACCTTTTTGAGTGAAATAACAAATATTTGAAAGAGCCAAAAGAGAAAAACACAAAGTACTTCTGTCAGACCATCACACATTTAACTTACCCTCCTGATAAGCCAAAGTATGCCTTTATTTGAGATACACTCCATGAAGTGCTTAGTCCCTCTCCTGCCTCTTGGATCGCCTGTTCCACAAGAGCACATGCAGAAATATGTGCTCCAGCTGATTGTCCCATCAAGTATATCCTATAAGCAACCAAACCTATTAAGCCGTACGCTCAGTCAAAGGTTCAGGATCCATTTAGAGCTCAGGAAATGCAACATACAGAAAATATGGAAGAAATTATAACATTTCAAAGAAAGTAATGTAGCAAAACATTCACCACTCGTTCAAACTCTCAATAATTTGTTTTTTATGTTTGCACAAACTCACCTTATCCGTTCATTTACAATATATAAAAACTACAGAATCTAAAAAAATATAATAAAAATTCAGTCATACTCCTTCACATTTTCCAAAGTAAAACCATGCAATAGAATATACCTTCAGCATTTTGTTTCATTTCCCTAGTATTTTGAGGGATTCAAATATACCCTAAGTGAAGAAGCGATAGTAAGCCAATGCCTAACTCCTACCTGTTAGGATCACCTCCATATTCAGACGCATTGTTGCACACAAAGGAAATACCCTGGGAAGCATCTTTTACCATATCACCAATAGTTGCCTGTGGAAAATTCCTGCATGCAAACTACCGATGTAAGAATACAAAGTTAGAGGCTACTAATGCTTTTTGTATCTCTGATCTGCAAATTTATTATTGACTTACAAAAAGATACACCAGGTCCTATGGGTCCATTGTTAGGAAGAGCAATGAGGAAATTAGGAATATATAGAAGTTTAGAACAAAAGAAAATGTGAGGATAAAACAAAAATTAATACAAACTCAAAAACTTTATTTTGAATATTTATTCATATTCACTTTTTAATGTTATTTCTATTATAAAAATAAAAATAAGTAATCATAGTTGTCAATGGCGCAAATGGCACGCAAGGCATTAACTTCACATAATCGTAGAATGTGGTTATTCTTCGATATTAAGTAATTTTTGGAGCTACTTTAAATTATTTTAACTTCACATATTTTTGTTTGATTGTGGTTATTCAACTTTTTCTATACTTTGGTCATTGAATTATAGATTTATAGTGTCTATACTTTATACTTTTAGTATTTATTTTTTTGTGTCATGTGGTAATGCCATACATGTGTCATTGCCATCACCATTGCCATGGGCAAATGCCTTGGCCAATGACTGTCTCCATATGTCATGACAACTATGCAAGTAATCTAACATAAGGGTATAAAATTAAGGGCAATTATTGTATTTCATTCTCTTCTTTATCTTTCTTATGTTCTTACGTTATCTTCATCTTTTATCTTTCTTATGTGCATTTATCTTTATCTTTATCTTATCCTTTTTATGTTACCTTATCTTTTTATTTTTCATATCCTTTCTTTTCAATTTGGCTCCGACATCTGTTGTGGACCATGACACTACCAATAATAAAAGTCTTATTAAGTAATTATATTATTCTCAATAACAGGGTTTTAGGCCCTATAACTTAATAGAAGTGGGCTGGCCCATTAGAAATAGAATAAATGGGGGAGAGTGATGTTACAGACCATGACACTACCAATAATAAAAGTCTTATTAAGTAATTTTATTATTCTCAATAACAGGGTTTTAGGCCCTATAACTTAATAGAAGTGGGCTGGCCCATTAG